AGGTATTGCTGCCGATCTGTAGGCTTACGGTACAGGCTCGTGGCGAGTTTACTTTCGTCTATCTTAACGTTGACGTCTAGGAAGATTATTTCGGTTTGAGAGTACGAATGTGTAAAGCGGATGCTCGGATGAGCAGCATTGTATCGACCTATGAAGTCCACCAGCTCCTCCTCAGTGTGCGACCATACAATAAATATATCATCTATAAACCTTTTGTATATTAGCGGCTTTACGGGACATTCAGAAAGGAACTGAGATTCTAATTTTCCCATGAATATGTTGGCATAGTTCGGGGCCATTTTGGTGCCCATCACGGTTTCGCTAACCTGCCTAAAGTATTTATTGTTAAATTCGAACGTGTTTAGTTCTAAGACAAGCCTCGCTAGAGTAGCGACGACGTGTCCATCTGGGGTATCCGGTTGTTTGTGGAGTTCGTACATGTCAATTAAAGAGAGTATTCCATCATCATGTGGAATATTCGTATACAGCGATGACACATCGAGTGTAACGAGATATCATTCTTTGGGTATGCATAAATTTGATATTTCTCTTAAGAAGTTAGCTGTGTCTTTAATGTACGAATCAAGAATTGTAGGTATATGTTTAATCAAACTGTCTACATATCCTGATATGGCTTCGGTTACTGTACCAATTCCGGATATGATTGGACGCCCTGGGTTACCAGGTTTGTGAATCTTAGGGAGCATGTAGAAGCGGCCCGGAGAAGGCTGTACCGGTTTCATTAATTTATGTTCGTTAGCAGTTATTCTGCCCTCGTCTAGGAGATCCTTAAGAACCGAGGTCACAATCTGAGTGTGGTGCACCGTAGGGTCATCCGCGAGAGGTTCATAAAACTTTGAGTCATTTAGTTGGCGGTTTCCTTCTCGGATATATTCAGAAGTGCTAAGAATCACAATTGCTCCTCCTTTATCGGCTGGTTTTATTGTTATGTCTGTCCTATTGCTCAGGGTTTTTAAGCTAGCCCGTTCGGATTTAGTGAGGTTATCCCGTCTTCCCGCCTGCCTGCGATATTCCCGCATTATGTCTTTTTGCACAGCAGCTATGTATAAGTCAAGACAATCATCACGGTTAGCTTTTGGCGTCCAGTCGCTCGTTGCACGCTGCTGAGAGGTGTTGGAGCTAGAAGTTTTGTCCAAGAAGTATTCCCGCAATCTTAAATTTCGAGCAAAGTTGTCGAGGTCGCGTAGTAATTGAAATTCGTCAACAAAACCTGTGGCGGGACAGAAATTTAGTCCCCTCGATAGGAGTCTTTCGTCTTCTGTTGATAGAGTCACGCCAGATAGATTAACAATTGTAGTGCCACAAGGGGCACTAGTGCTTGACCTACCGTCTGTTATGCTAATGGCCGGTTGAGTATGTTCGTTATAGTTAAATGATGTCGTGAGCTGAGGTAAAACAGGGTTAGGAACCTTATCGCGCTGTAGCTTACGTAGCTTGATTGTTGCGAGGTCATGGTGTTTCTTTTTATCAAATTCAGATAGGGCGCTAATTTCGGATGTCGATAAGGGGCCATTTGAACGGAGAAGTGTAGCGGTCGCGGTCGTTAACTGTTTCACTTGTTTGTCACTATGCTCAATCGCTATTTGGACCAGTTTAAGGGAAACTTCAAGGAGAACTTGTTGCCATTCCGATCGGTCATGTTGGTCGAGGTTTGTGCAGGCGGGAGGAAGGGAAAGCGACATGCCCTTCGGGGTAATGCCTGCGTTAAGGTACACTAGCAAGGTTGATTTATGGAGTTCGTGCCTAATGCGTTTATCTGAGAGCTTTCGTACTTTAAGAAAAGTGGTACTGTAGTTTGGAGTGGAGGAACTGGACTCACCGAACTGTCGTCATTCGTCTTTCTTCGGGTGCGGGGAGCTCTCCACGGTGGGCTTTCGCAGGTTGTAGCGCTGTCTTGGGGTACTTCTCGGCTGCTGCGGGCGTTGCATTGGTGCCACACTCTCGGCAGGTGTCGGGTACTCATCGACGTAGTTGACGCTCTCGCTGGCTGCCGGGCACGGTGCTGGCGGGGTCCCCACAGGGGCAGCTGGGCTCTCGATGCTCTCGCTAAATATATATATATATATACATATATATATATATATATATATATATATATATATATATATATATATATATATATATATATATATAGAGAGAGAGAGAGAGAGAGAGAGGGTTGGGGGGGGGGGGGGGGGGGGGGGAAGAGAACTTCGGTGCTTGTGCGGGCGGCACAATACATATTTAGTAACATGCCCTTCTAGTATTTTTTTTTCATCTAATATCCTCTAAGCTGTGAAAACTCTGATAATGTGTATATTTAAAAAAGAAAAAAATACTGCGAAGTCACTTGTGTGTACACACATATCAAAAGCCTCTTATTTTATGCTGGCGCAACCAGCATGCTCATTGTACGAGGGTGATTCAATAAATAAGGTGAATTTTCTTGTATAAGGACTTCTAATACCGATAGAAGCTTACTTTTTTTTTTATTTTTCTACGTAGTCTCCCAGCACTGTCAGACACATTTCCCATCTGTGCACAAGCTTCCGTATTCCCTCAGCGTAAAAATCTTTAGACTGATGTCTAAGCCAGTCGCTCACAACGCTTTTGACTTCATCGTCACTTTCAAACTTCGTGCCTCTCGTGAACGCTTTCAAGGGACCAGACAGGTGAAAGTCAGATGGGGCAAAGTCTGGGCTATAAGGGGGATGTGGGAGCAGTTCCCAACCCAGCTCGCTGATGGTCTGCCTCCATTAGGGCTGCTGTGTGAGGCCTTGCATTGTCATGATGCAAGATGACTCCTTTTGATGATGACTTCTGCGTTTATTCTTCATGTCTTTCCTGACCTGCCTCAGCAGTTCACAGTAGTTGGCACTGTTCACAGTGCTTCCTTTTTCAAGGAATGAAATGGTGATTGGGCTTTGCATATCCCAAAAAACGGTGAGCATCACCTTCCTAGTGGACCGCTGGGACTTGAACTTCTTCTTCACTGCAGAGCCTGCGTGCTTCCACTCCATGGACTGTCGTTTAGACTCAGGCTCATAGTGCCAAACCCATGTCTCGTCAGATGTGACCATCTTCTTCAGAAACTCATCACCATCCTTCTCATAGCGGGAAAGACACTGCTGGGACAACTCGACCCTCCTCTGTTTGTGCTCCGCAGTAAGCATCTTTGGCACCCACCTGCTGCTGACCTTCGAGTAGCCAAGGTTATCATGGACAATTTTGTGTGCTGTCCCCACAGATAAGCTCAAAGTCCTTGCAATGCCATCCACTGTCACCCTTCTGTCAGACTGAATGAGGTTATTGACTGATTCAATCACCTCAGGAGATCTCATTTCTGTAGGCCTCCCAGGCCTGTCTTCATCCTCAACACTGCTCCGTCCTTCTTTAAACAATTTAGCCCTCTTGTAGACATTTTTTTGGCTGAAACATGTGGCACCGTACACAGTTGACATTCTCCTGTGAATTTTAACGGGTTTGCACCCTTCAGCAACCAAAAACTTGATAACTGACCGCTGTTCAATCCTGGAGCATGCTTCTTGGTTGGCCATCTTTGTTACGCGGTAAAATTCTCACAGTTTTTTTTGTAATCTGCATAAGAAATTAAATCCACATGGAAAAGTAGTAAAACAATAAAAATAACATAAAAGTAAGCTTCTATCTGTATTAGAAGTCCTTATACAAAAAAATTCACCTTACTTATTGAATCACCCTCGTACCATAGAATAATCGAGGAGGAAGTTAGCAAAGCCCACGCGTGACCCAGTTTAGCGAAAACGACAGTGACCGGCTTCGTGTGTTCGGATGGAGAGAGTCACGCGGTGCACTGCCGGTGAGTTTTTGGTCGTCGGTGCCACTGGCAAGGGCTCGCCGGCGATTTACCAGCCAAATTCTCCAATAGAAAGTCTGCGATGGGCATTTTTGGTTCAATCAAAAAAACTAAACGCTTTACCGCCTTTTTTTTTTTTTAGAGGGGGGGTGGTGGTATTTTCGGTTTTTTGACGCGGGTTTGCTCTTTGTGAATTGGCCACACCCAAGGATGTAGAAGACGACATTTGCTTTTCCATGGCATCCTAATTGCACATAGGAAATTGAACGCTCAATAAATGTTCCCACTGGGAACTTTAATAAATGCTGATGTGGTCACCAGCCCGAGGAATAGCTTTCATACTAGGGGTAGTCAAGGGGTTTGTGATTACTGTGTTGTGAGTGATTTATTTTGTTTCTGCTCGTTTCCTTCATGTGCTTCCTTTCCTTGATGTTCTAGACTGTAAGGAATTATATATAAAAAGAGATTCCCAACAAGTGCAAGACGTTTTTAAAACTCGGTTGCAAAACATTTATTGAAAATCTATTGCAAAAATATCTTGAAACACTGTTGCCAAAAATTTAATTGAAATGCAATTGCTAGAAGTTTAATTAAAATTCGCTGTCCAACATTCAGTGACGGTTCAATGGGAATTCATACGAAAAAAAAAGCAATTGAGTTACAATTGAGACTCGACGCGGCGTATTAAGTGAATGCTTTACAATTTTAATTGAAACTCGTTTCATTCATTTGTTAGGGTGCCATCATATGCTACGGAGGTAGAACCATCAAAGGTTGGAGTGCACCCAGGTCCGACTCTTTGGAAGTTTCAACTCATAGTTCGAGTTTATGCGGATGAGCAGAAATATCAAAGAATAATACCGCCTTAGGGAAGCAAGTCGTTAAAAAATTAATATAATCAAATGTTTGCTTTTATGTTGCACGAAACTGGGAAAGTATTGTCTAAGACTTTAAGTAAGCTAATCACATTTCGTTTGAATCACGACTTTTTATAGGCCGGTCAGGGCTGTTTAATATGTCGACTTTCAAAAAAGTTTTGTCAATTGGTCGAAGATTCGCCGAACCAGTGGAATCTCGAGGTTCCATGTCCTTAGTACTTATGTTTCAAAATAGTTTGTATCTCAAAACTTTTCTCTCAGTCCTCTGTGCATCCTCTCTTTTCTAGATCCGCCGGAGGTGAAGATCGAGCACAGCCGGGTGGGCGTGGTCAAGGAGGGGGGTCACGTGGTGCTGCACTGCTCTTACACGGCCAACCCGCGGATGATCCTGGACATGCGCTGGTTCAAGGACGACGCCCCGTTGCGCTTCGACCAGGACGAGCGGCTGGAGCCCAGCAACCCCGGCCTGCCCACGCTCACCATCCGGGAACTCACGCGTAAGGACCGCGGACGCTACGCCTGCGGACTCCGCAACGACGTCGGCTGGGGAAACTCCTCCAACGTGGCGCACCTCGACATCCTCTGTGAGTGGCGCCTTTTGATTTTGCCATCACGACATCCTCCGTGAGTGGCGCATTTTGATCATACCATCACGACGGACGCGCTGCCACAGTGAGCCAACGCATTCTAGATGTCAAGGCCTAGCACGGTATTCTTACAGTGGTAGCTGTTTTTACCACTTCTAGCAACATGAGAAGATGCTCAAACGTAAACACTCACAGTACTGGAAAACTCTATTTGGGTTCTCATGCGCCGTGTGCCACCGGTAGTAATTTCTGGGAAAGCTAACGCCCTTCCAATCTAAGCACGTCTCCGTTCTGGTTGAAGTGCTTCCCGGCAAAGTTTTAAAGGACATGTACGTCTCCCTTGCAAATGCGTAAACTGTGGCACCAGTGTTGTCAAAAGAAATCCCGTAATACATTTTTTCGGAACTGAACAGATTGCGCTCTCTAGTGCAACAAGGGTTTCGTGGTCGTTTGCATTTTTTTACCTCATTTCTTCTCACGGACGCCTTAAGGAAGGTAAGGCATATTATGTTCGTACTTCATGCTTCGTTAATAATGCTTCAGTATTCTTACAGGTCAATGTCGCAATAGTCCGATCTAACCAGCCTGTTTGACTACACCACCGGTACTGCAATGCATTGAGGGAACTTTAGTCTTTTTGCACGTACGACAACCTCGCTGGAGCTCTGCTGGTGTAGAGCAGAAGTCACGGGCCCTGGTGTGCTCTGCCGTCTGCCTCTTTTGAACCAAAGTTATGACGGCGTCAAGCATGCACCGAACGCTTAGTGAAATCGGTCTATCGCATTAGCGACGTTTTTAAGCTGTATGTGCCTGGAGGCCTGGAGCACATACTGCACATGAGTGGCCCTTTCACGTGTGGTCTTCGGTTTCGTGTCTTCACCGGCGGAATGAGGTTCAAGCGGAACGCTGCCTCAGCAGTCGTGTTCAATATGTAACCGCGGCTGGCCTTCGATGGGTGTCGTAGAACATCTTGCACTGTGGCCTTCTAGCATGTGTTCGACGACCGCGTGGTTCCTTCTCCGTGGGACAATCGGAGAACCTTTCCTTGTCCTGTAGATTGAAAATATCGGTTCGCTTCTTAAGAGTACCTCTGAATATTTTTCCTTACACATTCCGAGGTAAAAACGCCAGGATGCCATGTTTACTCTGGATGAAATAACTTTGCCAAATTTTCTGTGTCGTCTATTTTCTCGGATGGAAAAGGCCGGAGGAATGAAAACTGATATTAGATCTTTTGCTAAATTACCCAAATAGTAAAAAATATTGTTGGGAGCGTAGGCACATGCACTGCACGCGTTAGCCTTTTCTGTATTAAATATTTGAACTAAACAACCAAATGAAGATGTTGATAACCCGCGTGCAATGTGGCATTTGTTTTGTAGCTTTAATTTAGAACAAATACTGCTGCAGATGGCAGTACGCACAGCGCGTATAGCTACACTCGCGCACGCTCCTTGAGCTTGGGTGTTTTAGCAAAAGACCTTTATATACCCTTTCGAAAGCCCCTTGCCGATTATTATACTCAGTTCACCCTTAAGCTGAGACGCTTCACCTTCAGCTCGAGCTCGCTGGCTTCCGCAGTGCCACGGTTGCGCGTGCCTGCGTGCTCACATTTGTGTTAGCAATAGCCCGATCTCACCAAGCGTTTGGCGCATGCGTGACGCCGCCATGACTTTAGTTCGCCGGAGGTAGGCGGCAGTGCACCGGGCAGCTTGTTTCGTTTGGTGCTCTGCACGTGCTGAGCTCCAGCGAGGCCATCGCGCGTGCACAAAGACTAAAGTTCCCTGGATGCATTGCGGCAGCGGTGGCGTAGCCAAACTGGCCGGTGAGATCGGTCTTTTGTTGAAAGATCGCGCTGAAGGCGGAGTTTCAAGTCTCAGCTTAAAAGCAATCGGAGTGTTGAAGGTCGAAACCACTGCACAATGGCGGAAAAACCGTATTCGTGGAACGTTTAAGTAATTCCATACGATTGCGCACATCGGAGCGCAGCGAATGTTAGTAGCCGACGAGCTAATCAAACCGCGTCGAAAATGATTCATCAGTTAGCTCATCACCTTTTTCTGCGGGTGTGTTTTTGCACTCAAATTTAATTAAATTCGTAAAGTGTGCAGCTACTTTGCGGTTGCAGTCCAGGATCGTGTAGGGATTACACAACTGCCATCAGAGAGCCGTTTTTGGTAAGAGATATATAAAGGTTTAAGCGGCGAACTAGTGCCAGCGGCCAAAAGCACAGAGCTCGTGATCACATAGGTAGTCACTCGTTTAGTGCTTTCCTGTATTTCTACCGTTAGCGCCCCAAGTCCCGTATTACTGTCGTCCGTGTGGACTTGAATCGTAGCAGGATGGTCGAAAGGGCCAGGATCAGAGCTGTCTAGAGTTTCTGTTTCAGCCCATAAAATTCGCGTTGTCGCTGTTTCGTATATTGTTGAGTCCAGTGTAACGTCCCAATGCCTATCATTAGGTCTGTAAGCTGCAGAGAAATCTCCCCCAAATCTGGCGCAAAACGCCCTTAGTAGGCACACAGTCCGAAAAATCTCCACATGGCCTCCTCGTCCAGCGGCGGTGAAATTCCGGCCGCTGCACGTGTCTTCTCAGGGTCAGAACGGACACTTTCGTTGCTTACGACGTGACCTAGGAACATTAGTTGGCAGCAACCGAACGGGCATTTCGAAGGCTTGAGCGTCAGTCCCGCGGTCTTGATGGTTTGGAACACGGCGCGGAGTCGAGGCAGGTGTTCGTCGAAGTCGCTTTGAGAATAACACAACGAAGTAGGGGTAAACGAGACAGCGTTGCCATTTCAGACCCGACAGCGTAGTGTCGATGACGCGCTAAAAAGTTGCTGGTGCCGTACAAAGTCCGAAAGGTATTACCTTTAGTATCGCATGCATCAATAGTGCCGAGTGCTTGACCGAGAACGAACGATTTGCGGGTTGTCTGGACCAGGGTTGGCCAGGCTGACCCGGCCTAAGCGCCGTAAACAAAACTATGAAACTTACAAGAGCCGAGGGGGGGGGGGAAGGGGGGGGGGGCAAACCTTTGTCTGAGCAATAAACGAAACTTGAACTACTTTCAATCGCTACGAGTCAAAAGCAGTCCAACTGCACATGAGGTAGCACAAGACTACCAAACCGCAACCTGTCTTTCGATTCAAAACTCGTTCTATTTCTCTTTTTGAGGAAGTGCTCCTGTGACTGCGAGGGAGGCGGGTGAGGGGGGAGGGTTTAGGGGAGGGAGCCGCGAGCCGCGCTTTAACACGCGAAGAGCCGCATGCGGCTGGCGAGCCGCAGCTTGGCCACCCCTGGTCTAGATGATTGGCATTTACTCTTAGTTTCAGCGTAAACAATATGGAGGACAAAATGACCTTGCCTAGTCAGTCTCGCCCTAGCTCTGTCCTGAACTTTCTGGGTCGAATATTCGAGATAAAAGGAGAAGCGTTCTTTAACTGTCATGCACGCGGCGTTATTTATTACAGTGGTCAGCACCCTTCACTTCTTTAAGAAATTTCGCGGATAAAAAGGTTTGACGAGAGTGAACTGGATATAAAGGTTTAATCGGCGAACTTGTGCCAGAAACCGAAACAAAGAATAAGCGTCGAAGCAGCAGCAGCGAACATGGCGGTGTCGGCGTGACAGCTGCTTGGAGCGAGAGAGAGAAGGTGCCTCGTCGTTCGGACAGTCTTAGCGACTTGGCGAAGCCACTGACAGCTACTTATCCGGTCCACTCGGTATCCCATATATTTGACCTACAAGGTTCGGGAGTGAGTTAGGGCGAGACTAGCCGAGGTCACTGTGGCCTCGTTATCTTTCTGCACTCGTGATGAGAGTAAAGGCAAATCTTCAAGATGAACGGAGAAGCGTGCAATCTCAGTCCTGCGCGCGGGAATACAAATATTCGAAAGGACAACTATCACTTAAAAAGAAGGGAACAAAAACAAAGGAATAGTCCGAGTTAAGATTTCAACATCCTGTAGTACATAGTTTCCAACTTGTTGATGGGGGTCATGTTCTGTATAAGCCGTGATTGCAATACGAGTTGTGCTGAAATACCTAACGTACTGATCGTCTGTTCCGCCTTTTTGCATGCTTTCTTCCCCGTCACACGACAACGCAGCGCATGCGCATTTGCGACCAATCGACGAGGGATGCGTTTACCAATGAATTGAATGGTTTGAGGAGGACACCCAGAATATCACGACAAGCGCGCCATCTATCGTTCCTTCGTGCTAAGCTTACCGGTACGGCCCGTGACACGTTTTGGTCAGAATGGAGAATAAAATCAAGATAATTTAGATTGCGATTTAAATCATCATCTTAATCGTGATTTAAATCACATCGGGTCTGCAGAACAATTTTTGTTTTTAAATAATCCCTAAAATATTTTTTTACTCACCGTATGTCTATCATTTGATGCTTTCTATGTGGGCTTGTTTCGTATTTAAAGCCAGGTAGCAACCAAGAAAAAGTGATCTATTGCAGGTTGAACGCAAACAGCTGTTCTGAACGAATCACGCCATTGAGCTTGTTTTTCTGCATTGCACTCCTTTTCTCAGTTACGGAATGTCCCACTAAAAGCAAATCAGAAACTGATAAAAAAAAATGAATATGGCTTTTTAGCTAACTAAAAAAATAGACTACTTTTATTCCAGAATGGTGGGTATATAATTTCCATATTTTCTTCGCTGACCAAACGGATCATTTATTCAAGCTGCCGTGTTTGAAAACAAAATTAGTCATAAGGGATCATTTTTTCCATGTACCGTTACTTAAATAATATTTATATGGTCTTAATCAAATAAATCGGATTAAAATAAAATAGGCATAATTTAGTTTATTTGAAAAGAAAGAAAACAATAATTTTGTGCCCTGATTTCGGGCAAAGAAGCCAAAGTGCAATAGGACAGCGTCTCCGTGACTGGAGGCAGTGGTTCGGATTCTTAGCGGTCTATAAACACACCTTCGGATTTGAGCGGGAACTTTCAGCATTTAGACAGGGCCGTA